AGTAGGCGGCGGTGGAGATCTCTTCTGAACAGCATGTAGCAAGGCATCCCAGATAGTATGCTCAATAATGTTCATGTCTGGGGATTTTGGTGGCCAGTGGAAGTGTTTACATTCAGCAGAATGTTCCTGGAGCCACTTTCCAGCAATTCTGGACCTGTGGGCTGTAACATTGTCCTGCTGGAATCGCCCAAGTCTATCGGGATGCACAATGGACATGAATGGGTTCAGGTGATCAGACATGATGTTTACGTACGTGTCACCTATCAGTCGTATCTAGACGTATCAGGGGTCCCATATCACTCCAACAGCGCACGCCCCATACCATCACAGAACCTCCACCAGCTTGACCAGTAGTCCCCTGTTGACATGCAGGGCCCATGGATTCATGAGGTTGTCGCCATACTCGTACACGTTCATCCGCTCGAAACCATGAGAAACGAGAATCGCCAGACCAAGCCACTACCAAAACGTCGGCGTCTCATCCAACGCGGCATCACCCGAACAGCCCAGAAGTCAACGTGTTTCCAGTAATCCCAATATCGGTGATGACTGGCACGGGCGAGGCGTAAAGCTTTGTGTCGTGCCGTCATCAGGGATCCAAGATCAGGGATACAAGTGAGCCTACGGCTCCGAAACCCCATATCGATAATGTCTCGTTGAATGGTACGCACGCTGACACGTGTTGATGGTCCAGCATAGAAATCTGCAGCAATTTGTGGAAGGAGTGCGTCACTTCTGAAATGTGTAATGATTATCCTCAGTCGTCGTCGTTTCTGTTCTTGCTTGATCCTTTTGCGGCCGCAGCGATACCAGAGGTTTCATGTTTTACCGGATTTCCGATATCCCCCTTTCAATGGAACATGCCACAGCCATTTCTACAGTTCATCGATTCAGGCACAACAGTTATTTTCATTAGTGGAATAGTCTATACCATAAAATAATTTTGGTGAAGTTAAAGCCATTTGAAAATTGGCGACATTCCTTAATTTAAAAAAAAAAAGCTTAATTATTCCTTAATTTAAAGAAATAAGCCAGCTTCTGCATACAGTGGTTGAATTTAACATGTTTTTATGAAGATTTTGTTATGGGATGTGATGGGTACAACCTACACTAAACGTTTGTTGATAAACATAAATAATAACACCGGTAAAATAGTTCGATAAAGCGAAAGGCGAGCGTTTTCAGGATGTTTGTGGATTATATTTTGGGTTTTGATACGGTTTGTGCACAATATTTTTTCATTGAAAACTACTTTTTTTTAGATAAGCCATTAAAACAATTTTAGATACCACCTAATATGCTATAAATACGTAAAAAATAGTGATGTCAGGGATTTTATAGCATCAATGTAGTATGCTGTGTATTAAGAGAATAAATAGAAATTATAGGATGTCCGGCTCTCAAAGTCCACCAGAAACATTTTTTACGCAGTTTACTTAATCAATTTTAATTATCACTTCCCTCAATCATAAGCTGTGATTCATCTATCTTAAGAGGTGGAAAATTATCGATCCCTGTGCCAAGGTGCAATAAAGCTCGCTTTACCATTGTCTCATTCAAACAGTTGTTAACTGAAGAAAATTTTTGGAAGAATTTTGGAGGGAAAAGATTTGGTTATGCGTAAGAGAAAGAAATAGACAATACTATTCGTCAAGCCTCTCTAAAGAACACCAATAAAAATAGAAAATATGCTTGAAAACAATATGAACATTTTTGTAAGGACCGAAGCTATATATTTAGAAAAGATACACCAATTTAAGAATTGTGAACATTTTGAAGGAAATTATATCAAATAAACACACATAATTCGTGTTTTCCTTATGTGCATTCGTTATGTACGTTATGTACTTTCAATTTGTGTTTAATAAGAGAGGTAATATTAATAATGAAATTAAAAAACAACAAATAAATTTCTTGTTTTCGTTACGTGCAGTTTCCATTTATTCATATTTGTACTGTATTAATCCTTACTTGCTGAGTATAGCAATCAGAATATACGTATGTATAACCTAACCTACTTGATTTTATCATTGCAGTCGGCCTTGCATAAGTAAACAGAGAATGGAGGTTGATGCATATAGTAATTGAAATCATTGAAAATACGAAAACATACCGGATTAACTTTCATTGTGAGTATTAATGCACAGGCTTCTTAAATTCAAATTTCATTCGTGGAATAATATAATAAATTCCCTCTCGTGCTTTGGAAAATCTTAAAATATACTCTCGTCGATTCGCGACTCGGAGATTTATCGACAATTTCCAAAGCACTGGTGGAATTACCTATGGGTACGTCTTGCTTGAAATGTGTTTCTCAAGAGCTAACAATTGATTCTTCTTTGTATACAAATCAATTCTACCTACTATGTGCAATCAATAGAACGCTCCTAAGAGAAAAAGTCGTCGGTAAGAATCAGCATTTGTTTCCCGTTATGCATTTTGTATGTTTGCATTTTTCACGTTAAATAAATAAATACATTAAAGTGTACATTATTGATGTGACTAATGGTTTTTCATTTTCACTGGAATCTTTTCAACAGTCCCTTTTCATTGGGTTGAGAACACGATACACTTTAATGCTGGATGTTGAACCTTTGGCCTCGTCCGTAAAGTTACTATAACGTTGACTTGCCTTTGTTATTGGCATAGCGAATGTGTCAACTCACATTGTCACATTGATTTCTGTCTTGAATTTATGTAATGGGTGATGTGACAAAAAAAACGTCTATTCTCGACAACACGTAATAAACAATATTACTCAAAAGAAATCATTGAAATTCTCGATTTTTGAATGAGAAGGAACTATTCTTTCATTGAAGTTTTTTTGTGTTTAACATTCAATTGAATGTGTCTACACGACTAAAAAAATAGGTTTCATGAACTCTGGAAACACCAATAAGCATTTTACGCTGCTTGTGTGCTTAGACATCGCTTTACCTCATATCGAATAATGCGATTTAAGATATTAGATTGCTATATCATTCGTCATTTTTTAAATATCAAGCTGTATATTACGTTTCAGAAAAGAAAACCAGTTTCACTATTAGATTGGAAAAAAAATTGTAATATTCCGTTCTATCTAGCCGTACAACATTTGAGCAGTTGGGGTAGTTTGAATACATGAAACTGACTGTACTCTTTTTTTCAGTTCTGGAATCGGTATCTTAGCTCTCATATTATACTGCGTTGAATTATGAATAATGGTAGAAACGAGGATTTGGGGCAAAATTTGATGAATATTCGCTCCAGTGCAATACACACTCTTCTAGCAACGACAAATGGAAAACAAATTTTGGCTCCGGTGCCTTGCCGGCAAATGACTCTTATCCCTTCCATCCCGTGTCGTACGTGAAGAAATCGACTTGGTATCGTGGGAACATGGAGAACGATTCTTTGAATAAATATATTCCACCGGGAGAGGTCGTTCAGGGCATCAACTGATGTCACTGCAGAGCTTCCGTCCGGAAGGTTCTACTTTCGAGTTCCGATGGCGCGGCGGGAGGGCTAAGTCGAATTGAGTCGCTGAGTGGAAGAGAATTCCAGCGACCGGCAACGCTGATCGGTAGTTTTCTGTGGTTTCTACGAACAATACCAAGCGAATGCCGGAGCAGTACCCTAACAAACACGCCACGGCCCACGATCGATCCTTCCTCTTTCTCGTCCTATCGTCACCGCTTACCAGCACACACTAACACATACATGCACTACACTACCACACATGTGAGACCGTTCGGGATTTTAGAGCGTGTCCGCACTGGGGCGGTGCCCCTTTGGTGGGAGATACCTGGTTAAGGGAAAGCCCGTTACCTAACGGTAGATCAGCGCCGGATCTAACTATTCAGCGGGGGAAGATCACTCCCACCTTTCGAGGAAAACACATGCACTATATTTACTTTCGAGACATATGACCTTAGCAGTTGACGCGACTGGATTCAAATTAACAATATTCCCTACTAACAACCCAGAGAATACAAGAAAACATGCGCAGATAGTGAAACTACATTTATGGTCCGAAGCAAAACAAGAGGTCATCGTCATTTGCTCAGTGTAAGAAGGGAAATGGACAAAAAACCTGATCGGGATGGGGGTCATTGAAGAAGCTGGAGTACAATACTTTTTCGAGATTGTCCTTCAATATTACAAATGATTTCTTATACTAAGGAAATCAATCTTGAACACTGCATATTTATATATCATTTTTTTCAAACATATTCATTGATGACCATTATATGAACCCATCTGATATGCTAAATTTCAAGTTGTGCGAAAATTATAGTTTCATAATTCTTTAGAATTCCATTATTTACATACAAATTACAATCTTAATCCGTCTTATTTGAAGGCTTCATATAGATGTATATCCACTTCATCACCTTCTAAAGTGAATGTCTGTGGACGATATGGAAGAATTTGGAAGTGAAAAAATCATAGAATAGCAATGAGGGGTGTTTATATAACTCGCTTATATCTATTACAATCATGTTTAATTAATTTCCAAAGACAGCCTTGTCAGAGCTACACTAATGCCTTGAAGACGCAGTTGCTAATCGTGGCATTCTAACACATCATTACACATTTCTATTCGACCGAGATGAAGCTCAAAGGATCGTAACAGGTAGTTCTATTAACCAGGCTACACGAAGTACTTCCGACTTGTTATAATATTTCGCTATAATCTAATACGTCTTTCAATCATTATGCATGATATTTAAAGCATCAAATCACATTTTGTATTATTTAGGTATAAAAAATTAACTACAGCTACCGTGAATCATTACTACAAAATTATTTTCAGTTTCTAACAAGTCAAGTTCTTGGTATTGAATTTTCTCATTCGGTTTTATATTATTAAAAGTATGCATCAATATTTGCCAAATAGTTTAAAAAAATAGAAACATATTGATTTAACAAATCGAGACTATAAAATGTTACACAAACTTTAAGAACAACGTATCTATCGCCACATAACTTCATTTAATGAAAATGTTCAATATGCTTACCTTACAAAGGTACGAATTGATCCAGTTAACAAAAGTCTTTTTCTGTACACGTTCTTGTTCATCTGCAAGAAAGAAAAACACTTAATTAGTACAGCGTGGATGACATAAAATTACGAACAAAATAATAACTGAGAATCTAATTACTTCTGGTAGCAGCGTCTTACTCAACATGTGTACATAAATATTATAGTGGATATATACGGCGCAGTACGAGGACGTGCAGAAATATTAAACAAGTATTTATATTTTCAATATGTTACACTCTTAACACAATACGTGAAAACATAAGTATTATTTATCATAAAATTAATTTCGGAAATACTTTGATTAAAATTAATGTTAATGTGCCCATAACGCAACCATATTTTCAAGAACAAATTTAACGTTAACATCATCTAAAAACTCGACAAAGAAAAAGTAACAACATATTCTACGAAACAAGTCTCAGGTCCAATAAACAACTCTTTGCTCAAAAGAATCACAAATCCATTATCAAAATCAAAGCACATTTCGTACACCATTTAGTAATTTATTATCTAATTCTTAGTCATTAATTCTCAACATTTAGTGATAAATTCTCTATTCGACATTTTCTCATTATTGTATTTCATTCTATCATTTTAAAACGAACAATAACAGAAAATTCGTGTCTTGGAACACGTCTTTGAAGTGAACTTGAAGAACTGTGTAATGAAACAGATCAGTTTCATTAATGAACTTACGAGGAAAGGAATGTTTGATGTTTATAAAACTTTCTTCACAGTAAGAATGAAATTACAAAATATTTTGTCCATTATTATTAATTTTCCTAAATAACCAACAAGAAAAAAATATCTCGCACTATAAACGTACTCGATAGTTGCAAAGAGCGTAGAAATTACGTAGCACATTTCTTGAGATGTCTGAGACAGACATTCCCGCAGTACGTACTACATTTTTCGTTCAGAAAATTGCTAATAGATTCGCGCGATAAGTGCAAAACCTGTAAAGAAGAATTTTCGAGATTATTTTTCGGCATTGAGTGACACATATATGGAGTAATCCTCCGATAAATTTCGTCTTGTTTCGTATCATCGCAGTCAGTCATTGTTTTTATTCTTTCCGCCAGGGGTTCAGCGAAGCTAGTAAATGGGGTTCCCAGATGGTCACCCATTCAGGAATCCGTGGTGTCTCGAGTTTCTTAACTTCCGTGAGCGAAGCGTAGTTAAACAATTCTACTAACGACGTAGGCTGCTCTTGTGGAATTTACATTTCTTGATTATTCCTATTTATCGTTCAAGTCATAATAATGTGGATAATTTTCAGAGTAGAGAATGACAGTTTGCAAGCTAATGACAATTAAGAAGGATTCATTACATTGTGGTTTCAATAAATGGTTTTTCTAATCGCTTTAATAATCGTGTAAGCTTACAAAGCTTTCCACACGAATGCGCGATACAGCAATGACGTGTTTGATGGTAATAATTTTGATTTGTACGTCATGTATAGAAAGTTGATAGGTTTGTTTTCATTCCCTAATTAGATTTATTTCACTGTTATTAGAACACTGATATGATAAGAATAAAAAATATTCGTTGTCTACAATTATTTATTTAATGTTGAACCATGTTTAACATTCAGACATTTTTACAATGATTATACTATAATGATTTGTTCCTAGAAGTCCGATTCTTTCCGAAGTCATTCTCACTAATATTTTGAACAATAATTTAATATTTTAAAAGCAATTAATTCATAAAATCGTGTACTTTAATGCGACCTTCCTATACTCACAAAATCAATAATATAAATATATCCCACTTCCTTAACTTGTAAACAAGGAAACGAAATGTTTTATGAAATTGAAAAGGAAGAAATAACAATGAATATCTTTTCAGAACACTAATGCTAGAAATCTGAGGTCTTTGCCACGTTGCAAGAATTCAACGAGGTCAGGTCTGCCGTTCGAATCCCGGTGCAGCTCTGAGCTCTTCCTTCGCGGCGTAGCCACCCAGCAAACCGGTTTCTTGCCGGCAGTCACGTTCGCTCCGCTCTTTTCAACCTCTTATAAGCTATTCTTCGACTTCAAGATATCTCCACATCGTTGTCATAAAAGGACAGAAGCTTTTTACAAACATCGTCAGTTCTGTCCTAATGTCCCAGTATTTTACAATATTATCATGATGAGTCGTGCGGTCATAAATCTTCGCGATGCACGCAGTGCACTACTTTCTCTCAACATTTACTGAACGTGCTATAAATGATTCAGAATATGCATTGGAGAAGAGAAGTGTTAGTATTCTAAAACAATGGGAACATCCTATGGTTTTCTTTCGTTTCTTTCCGATTCCCAGTAATACACCCTGACAGTTTCGCAACTAGCTATCAGCAAATGTGCATTTGTTTATTCAATTTGAAAACAATATTTGAAACTACTTAATACTATTAAATTTAAAAAAAGGCATGCAATTAAGGAATTGATCTAGCATCGACATCGTGGTACTCGAAACTGCGGCAAACGCCTCCCTACAATTTTCGAGAGTTCATAAAATTGCCGTATTCTTCTCCATGTAATATTCCTATTGCAAGCGATAAACAGTAAAGAGTTCCGTTTTTCGCTTTCTGGGACAAATGTGAACTGATAGATGATGGTCGATGGTACGAGGTGGTTTGCTTCTGTCTTCTTCCTTACAATTATAAAGAAAACATTTGTGTATCCAGAGGTGTATTGGAACACGCAATTCATGACTCGATGCACTGTAGTTTCAGCTGCAGACAATTCAGTCACGCAACACTTTTAATTATCTTTAAACAAAAAATAACCAACATTCGGGACATGTTCTCGTTAGGAACTTTTCGAGAGAAAGAACAAGAAAATATAGAGCTATGTACATTGGATTTAGTACTACAAAATAATCGGCAAGTTAGTGCAGGATTTCACAAATTTTAAAAACTGTTTTGGCGATTGAATAGGGATAGCTTTTTCTAGAGTACAGAATCCAACAAAAATGAACGTGAAAATCTGAATAATTATTACAACTTATGTAACGTAGGTATTTCTTCTTTCAGCGCATTTTTTATTGTCTACCCTGTGTCTGTGACAACGGCAACCGCTCATCGATGAAGATGTGAGTTCGCGCTCAGCGTTAGGATTTGCCTCACACGCAACACTCACAAACACAGACACTCGCATTTGTATGAAACTTCCTCAGCATATATCGCAGCAGTAATCGAAAACGTAAGGAATCAAAATTTGAAATCCTTTTGACATCTAGAAGAAGAGGTACGAGCAAAAATATTAAGCGCTGAAATGTGACTGTAGGCCATTCTGCTTACAAGGATTAGGACAATACAGTTAAGGAAGTTATATTTATCTTCATTGAGAATTGTGTTTTGGCAGTACGTAACGAATCTCTTGTGTGTGTTGTTTCTTTTGGTTTTGAACGCGTAAAACTCTTTCGTTAATTTCTTTTGCCTTTCTTCACCATCCCGGCATTATCATTGGATCCATCACTTTTACTTGTGACGCCAGAAAAAAAGACGTTAAACGACTTACAATAAAAAAAAAAGTTTCAAAGTATTATTTCACACGATACCAATCCGTCTTAGTTTATAACATATGACTTGTGGTAAAAACGTTTTCCGGATTCGAAAAATTTGAAACGAAACAGTTTATAAACATTCCATTGATATTTATCAATATTTTCATATATCCAATGACTACAAATTACTATTGATAATTACGAAACATACTAGGTCATCTCCGTAGCTCAGTAATCCGAGAAGACACTCGTGTCAGATTTCAAGCATTGGCCAAAACTAAAAAAAAGGCTAAATTTAGAAAAAAATAATCTAAAACGTAGTGTAGCCAGAATCCATGTTTTGTTAACCAGAAAATAAAACCAGAAAACCTTAATACCAAAAAATCTAATGACGGCAAAACAACTGTCCGTGCGACCGTCTGTGAACAACGCTAGCAGCTACACCGTTCAGTCGATTTTCTCCAAAACTGATATTTCTGAATCGATCTGGCAGATGTCGCGGTCCCTTGAATTTGAAACCGATACTTTAATTTGGAAGGGGGTACTGTACATGAAGCTACTGGGACGTTTTCTAAATTTGCAAAAAATGGCTCCATCGATTTTTATTAAATTTTGGCGTTGAAGGGATAGTGTGAAAGACGTTTACGAGAATGGTGAAGGTTTCATTTTCGTTTAAAAGCTTAGTTTTCCGAAAATTGCAAAAGTTCACTTTTTTTCAGTCTTCCTTGAACTAAAATATTCAAAATAGAGATTTTTCCCTTAATAATATCTGTTCCTTAAAGATATATTTTGAAATAAGGATGTGTACAATTTTTCGATAATTTGAGGAATTTTCGCCTAATTTTGGGTGAAAATACAGGCGAGATAGTACGTGCTGTTTTAGCACCACTAGTTTTTTTGAAAACTTTTATTATTGCAGAAATGCGGTTTTAAACCATGAGTACTTTTATTTTAATCAATTCAAAGTAGACAGGAATTTTAAAACTAATATAAAATAGCGGTTTTTTGCATTGAAAGGCTTGAAAAACCCGTTATTTTTTAGTCAGAATTATTGTTTAAAATGTTTTGATTTGAAGCGATCTCTTCCCGGAAAGACCCTTTCCAAGGTAAATATCGCGACACCAAAATGAAGACGATTTTACGAAATCGACAATTGAAATGACGGTTTTATATAAAGGTGTTAAGAAAGAACTATTTCAAGTGAAATCACATCTGAAATGAGAGACCTACAGGTAAGGAACCTCATGATGCTACAGGTTGAAATAAAATGTAGGCCCGAAATGGAGCCACATTCTTGAAAACGGATTTTAAAAAAATCAATCCTTACACAACATGAGATCTACCAAATTCCTCCTGACGAATTACTGAAATCTATCGGCAAAAATGTTTAGGATCACGTGAAAATCAATACTCATTCAAATTAGCACTACGGATCTAAAATTGCTCGAGTTGTCATCTTTCACCTTGCTTCTCAAGTGCACTGACATTTCCGACACTACATACAGTCCAAATAAAACGGGTATTTTTTTCTTGAATGAATATTTTTTTCTTCTCTATAATATGAGAAGTTTGCTAATAAAACCAATTCATTTCATTTGTAAGGATATTACAACGGGAACACAAATCTTCCGGAGAACGATTCGAGCGAGATATACAGCTGGATAACCTAAGCTGGACATTGCGAATATTTTCGAAACCGTTTGAGGTATCGGGATGTGGTTTGTGAAAAGATATTGTAGATGATGGTGGTGATTATAGATGATGGTGGTGATTATAGATGATGGTGGATAGTTTGTACTTTTTTACATTCTTGAGATATTGATACAACTTTAATTTTTGAAATGGAAGTATATATTTTTTCTCCTACCTATCTAAAGTAATGAAGAGACGATGTAATGATGTATGTATTGTTCATATTTGGAAAGAAATTGTAGAGAAAATGCTTTCTACATTTCCTTACATGCTTTGGTTCGAGTGCCTTTCCGTTCTTCGGAAAGTTAAAAATTCCTTCGCTTGCGCTCCTCTCTCTAATTACAAATTGAAATTGATACTGTGAGTTTTGAATATTAGTAACAATTCTTATTTGTATTGCTTTCTTGGATTGATCTCCTACGAAAATAATATCTGTGGCAAACCTAACTGGTTCACTCGCCATATTTTACTTCGCAATAGACCGTATTTGAACTAATATACCATTTCGAGAGTTTATCAAGTTTATATACTTCATAAACACAGACTATATATAAAATTTTAGACTATTTTTCAGTGGCAATGTATTTTTGTGGTTTTAATAAACAATTGAAGTGCTGTGGTTTTAATGATGAAAAAAAGCACCACGTCTACAGTAATAGTGACTTAAGCAGATGTATCCGAATTTATAAAATGTCACTTATACCGTTCTGTTTTCACCCATTCAAATATGAATAAGAACATTAATTTTAATTAATAATGGAATAATGGAATGTTTTCATCGTTCTCTCTTCATATTTTTATTATATTTTCAAATTAATTACCCCGTTAATGGAATAAGCGGGTATCAAATAAAATCAATGCACGTTTCTTTGTTTTAAACATATGGGATATAATGATTGGTTGCCTCCCATGTGCAGAAATATCTGTTTCCACAGCGCAGATTGATCATCTGGGACGCTGTAACGTAACGCGGAAGTGAAGGAAGGGCGAGTTCGAGCAATGGCCGCGGTTCCCGGCGCGCGGCGAGGCGCCGTCGGGCGCTGTCGTTCACCTCGGCGCGGAGCCGGCCGCGCCCGCCCGGCGCAGGGCGGGTGCGCGCTCAAAGGGCCCTGGCCGCTCTCCACGTCTTTTTCCCATCGGCGCGGCGATCGAACTGCCGTGTCCTCCGGCGAGGCTTGCGTCGCGGCGTGTCATCGGCGGCGGCGAGCCCCTTGCCAAGACGCGCCCTCCACTGTGTCCTCGCCAAGTGAAAGTGGCACGCCCCGCCCCACCCCCGCCCCCGCCCGAGCCCAACCCACTCCCCGGCCACGGGCGTGCCCCTCCATACGACGAAGCGTCTCGGTGGCGAGCAATTGTGCAGTAAAGCTGCTCGTTCACCGGCAAACAAGCACCGGCGACGACGTCCGTAATATGCCTAACTGTGTTCGGAGGCGCCAACGCAACTTGGACGTGAGGCGCGTCTCATCCTCCC